AAGTCATGCCCGCCCTTGCGCTCGTTCGATGTTTCTTTGATACTTCCATCTGAGGCAGACTTGATTTCCCGGAAACTCATGGAAGGGGTACTTCGTCAGTATAAAGAGGGGGTTATAGAGGGGTTACATGACGGGTGGTGTCCAGTGGAAAATGAGGGGTACTTTCTATCGGTAGATGAGGGTACTTCGTATGGGGGGTGTTTCCTCCCAAAGCGGAAGTGGTAGGGGTAGTAGGGTTGTATCGAAAGGAGTTGACCGGGTAGTACAAAGAGAGTGTTCACGACAATGCGAGCGGAAAAGGGTAGGGTACATAAAAGAAAAATCAATCATGAATATAGGGTAGGGGTGATGTAAGCGAGGAACAAAGCAGGAACAGTTCTGAAAAAGCTTGTTTGGAGGAGGTAGGGGTGACACCCTACCCTTGCTTGTCCATGGGGTGTAGGCAATGTAGACACCTGGGACCCCTGATTTAATGTGCTCCACCCCCCAATTTGACTTGATATCTACCCCTTCACCCTGTTAGCTGACCAACACAGTACCCTCACCTACCCTACGTACACGATACCTCCTTGTTCAAGTCTCCCACCCTTGTTGGATCACTCAATACTCTTGTAGTTGTGGGGTACTTGAGCCCTTTTCGAGTACCCCTACCTGTGTAACATGTACCCCCACCTGCTTATTTCTGGACCCCCATAGTAATCTGTGAAATATTTTAAACGGAAAGGACCCCTACCACGTAGGAAACAAGCACACCCCCGCAATTTAGTACCCTACCCTTGCGAAAGGACCCCAAGGTCAGAACCCCTCTCTCAGTCAAGCTATGGCAGGAACAGGCGCAGACGATATCTGGAGGAGAGGAAGGGGGAGAGGGAGGAGGAGCCGTAGAGCAGATGAGGGTGAATGAACTTAACAGGATGGGAAGGAGTAGAGGAGGAAGCGGGAAGATGAGATGGTGAGAAGATGAAAGGCACCATGTGATCAGATCAGGGAGGAAGCTAGTCGACTTCGTTGGCAGGTTGATACCTGGCGAAGAGGATTGTGAATCTGTGAAGGGAGGTCATGTTGCAGGAGGGAAGAGACAGATAGATTCAAGAAAGGAAAGGAAAGGAAGAGATGAAGAAGGAAAGCGTAGGGTAGGATTAGAGGAAACGAGTGAGTGGTTGGGAGCTTGTGCAACAGAATAGGAAAGGACGATTGATGAGCAGAGTGAGGAGTAGTGAGATGATTTGTTCCAAATGTTGTTGGATCATTCTTCATGGCTGACGCGTGAGCTTGCAGGGTCCGGAAGACGGTACTCTTCCACGAGGCTTCCACTGCCACCATACAGGGTCCGCCTTCCCTATAAGTAGGACGCGCATCTCTCATCTGAGCTCTTAGCCTTCGTCTCAGCTCACCCTTCATCGTTGCCCTCTGCTGAAGATGCAAATGTTTGTTGCCGCTGCTCGTGCATCTTTTGTAAGGCGAGTGAGGCAGCAATTCTCCTTGTCCAGCCTGCAGCGACAGTTTCCCCGAGCTCTGTCCTCCCGCAAGTTTTCTTCTCCAGCCCGAGTGCATGAGTCCTTCATCACAGGAACTGGGGGAGCCTATGTCGAGGAGCTCTTCGAAGCATGGGAGAAGGATCCCAACTCTGTTCACAAGTCATGGCAAGTTTTCTTCGCGAACCTGCAAGCCAACGCGCAGCCAGGCGCTGCTAACGCCCTCCCTCCGTCTCTGACCGGGGGGATCGAGCCGGTGCCAGTGGAAGTGGATCAGGTGGCGTCTGCAGCGGTAGACCACATGAACTTGCTCCTGTTAGTTCGAGCGTTCCAGGTGCGCGGGCATTACCTGGCGCACCTCGACCCTCTTGAAATCAACACAGCGAATATCCACATGCAGCCCGATGGTCAGATGCCTCAGTTTTTAGATCACAAGACGTATGGGTTCACAGATGCGGACCTTGATAGAGAGTTTTACATGGGAGCAGCGGCAATTGGAGCAGCAGCGGCTGGTGTGCTGGCTTCGGGACGTCCACAGACTCTTCGTGAGATCATTGACACGCTGAAGGGTGCTTATTGCGATACCATTGGAGTAGAGTTCATGCATATTCCGGATCTTGAACAGCAGAATTGGATCCGAGACAAGTTTGAAAAGTCAGATAAATTCCAGCATACCAAGTCGGACGTGCTGAACATGTACGACAGACTTGCGTTCGCTTCCAACTTTGAAACTTTCCTTGCTACGAAATACGGAGTGACCAAAAGGTTCGGTTTGGAGGGGGTAGAATCTGCGATCCCCGGTATCAAGAGCATGATAGACAGAGCCGCAGAGCTGGGGTGCGAAGCTTTCAATATTGGCATGCCGCACAGAGGCAGGCTCAACGTACTAGCCAACGTCATGAGGAAACCGATGGAGGAGATCTTTCAGGAGTTCATCGCAGGGACTGTGGCTTCCGTGCCCGGACATGACGAGGTCTGGGGCAGTGGCGATGTCAAGTATCACCTGGGATTCTCCATCGACCGACCCACCACTTGCGGCAAGCGGGTTCATCTTTCCTTAGTAGCAAACCCGTCCCACTTGGAAGCTGTGAATCCGGTGGTCCTCGGTAAAACCCGGGCGAAGCAAGAGTCATTGAAGGATGACACTCGTCGACGCGCCATGAGCGTTCTCCTTCACGGTGATGCTGCCTTTGCAGGTCAGGGCATCGTGTATGAGACCCTGGAACTTTCAGATATCAAAGGATACAGCACTGGGGGGACTGTGCACATCATCGTGAACAACCAGATTGGTTTCACAACTGATCCTCGCTTTGCAAGGTCCTCTCCTTACTGCTCGGATGTTGCGAAATGCGTCAGCGTCCCAATCTTCCATGTGAATGCAGACGATCTACAAGCAGTTTGCTGGGTTTGTGCAACTGCAGCTGAGTTCAGACAGAAGTTTGGCAAAGATGTGATTGTGGACATTGTTGGGTACAGGCGATACGGTCACAATGAGATTGACGAGCCGAGCTTCACACAGCCGCTGATGTATCAGCACATTTCCAAGACGAAGCCCGTGTTGCAGAAATTCCAGGACGAGGCGTTGGAGAAGTCCCTTCTGTCCAAGGACGAGATTGACAAGGTGGAGGCGGACTGCGTGAGAATCTTCGAACAAGCTTTCGAGAAGGCGAGGAGAAATGTTGAGAGTGGAACTTGGGATAAGGGTGAAATCCCCTTGGAGAACCGCTGGAAGGGATTCAAGTCTCGATTCAGCTTCTCTGCTCGTCAAGACACTGGAGTCCCGCTGGAGGAGCTGAGAAATGTCGGCGAGCGCCTGTCTTCGTACCCGAAAGACTTTCACATCCATCGCGGACTCGCGAGAGTCATGCAGGCATCCCTTCAACTCTGACTTGCCACATGATTTGTTGAACCTCGTTTGCAGAACAAGAAGCACATGTTCGACACTGGCGTTGGCCTCGACTGGGCAACGGCCGAGGCGCTGGCCTTCGGCACTCTGCTCAAGGAAGGTGTCCACGTGCGCCTGAGCGGACAAGACGTCGAGCGCGGGACCTTCAGCCACCGCCATGCTGTGTTGCACGACCAGGAGAACGAGAGCAAGTGAGGAGTCGACAACGTTTACCTTTCGAACTGAATCTGAACTCTCCTGCAGGTATGTTCCTTTGCAGAACCTCTCTTCAGACCAGGCAACCTTTTCCATCTTCAACTCCAACTTGTCAGAGTACGGCGTCCTTGGGTTTGAGCTCGGGTTCGCAGCCTCGTCGTCAGAGATTGCAGCTGTTGACTTCCCACCTCAGATATTCTCTCCATAGCCCTATGTCACTCGTGCTGTGGGAGGCTCAGTTCGGAGACTTTGCCAACACCGCGCAGGTACTTCAGTGGAACAAGACGTTGAGCACCTTGACAAGGGTGATCAGGTCATTATCGATCAGTTCATAGCGGCTGGAGAGCAGAAATGGCTGCGTCAGGTGTGCAGCTGCTCTTGTCCGTGGTTGAGCTGAACTTGCAATCACTCAGAGTGGACTTGTTATGCTCCTTCCCCACGGTTACGAGGGCCAGGTACAAGGGAATGCGCCAAGTGTTGTTGCTTTGACTGTGGAATCTGCTAGGGGCCAGAGCATTCCTCGGCAAGGATTGAACGTTTTTTGCAAATGAGCGATGATGACCCTGGTACTTGTCTTGTTCTTTTCATTGAGTTGCCTCTTTTGTTTGTTCTTGTTCTTTTCATGGAGTTGCCTCGTTTGTCTTTTATATAGCTAAAGTTTTGCATATCAGCGATCATCCCTGAGATGGCCCAGCATGGAAGGATGCAAATTCAGCACAGCAACTGGCAGATAGTCAACCTCTCTACTCCAGCAAACTACTTCCATGCCCTCCGCCGCCAGGTCAGCAGCTGCTTGACCTTTCCCGCCCATGATCGCTGACTCGCCCTGAAGATTCGCCGCGAGTTCCGCAAGCCCCTGGTAAAGTTCCTCACTTGTCATCTCCTTCCTAGTGGCCGACGTGAAGTTCAGGTCGTCTTCTCCCCCAAGTCCCTGCTGCGTCACCCGCAGTGTGTGTCCGACATCCAGGAGTTCGTACCAGGGATCCCGTTCCGCAGGTGGCTGCTTCCCGGCAGCTCGGCAACGAGCTAAAGTCTGTCTGTGGCAGAATGATCGACGAGCGCTTCCCCCACGACATCGTAGCGCCGGAGGAAGTGAAACGTCTCATCCTCTGCACTGGCAAGGTGTACTATGACGTCATCAAGTACCGCAACGACAACCAGGTCAGGCCCGTGGAGGGTGCGAGGGAGCCGTTGGCTGACCGTTGGACAGATCAAGAACATCGCAGTCGCAACGCTAGAGCAGGTCTGCTCTCAAAGTTGTTTCCATCCCTCCCTCCCTCCTTCCTCCCTTCCCTTCCCTGCCCCTCCCTTCCCTTCCCTGCCCCTCCCTTCCCTTCTCTCTCCAGCAACTCATGAGCGATGTCAGATCTCGCCCTTCCCCTTCGATCGTGTTCAGCAGCTCTCCAAGAAGTGAGGGTTTCTCCTCCTGAGCTTGTCAACTGACTGTCCTCAAGGTACCCTAACGCCGAGCTCGTGTGGGTCCAGGAGGAGCCTCAGAACATGGGGTGCGCAGCTCAGCTTCAGCTTGGGCCGTCCACTAACTAGTATGAGCAGGTGCTGGTCGTACGTCGAGCCGCGTGTAGCGACTGGTAGGAGGAGGCGACTCGTGCCGAGGGCCTGACGAGCTTGCAGCGCTCCTTGAAATCAATGGGAAGCGGATCAGCTACATCGGGAGAAACCCAGCAGCCTCTCCAGCTACCGGCAACAGCACCATCCACCTGGCCGAGATCGAGCAGTTCCTCGAGGTGACTGGCTGGTCTCTCTTCTCTCGTCTCTCTTCTCTTACCTCCTCCCCTCCAGGCTGCCTTCAACCTCGCTCCGGCCCCAGACCGCATGCCTCCCATCCGCTGGCGATACTGAGCGAGTGGCGGACGGGTTTGTATTCAGTCTGTACATTCAATGATCCACTTGAACTCGAAAGTTCCCTCCCCTCCCTCCTTCCCTCCTTCTCCACCTCTTCTCCATGCTCTCCTTCTCTCCCTCCCTCCCTTCCCTCCCTCCTCGCTGCTTTCATTCCCCTCTTCCCTCCATCCTCCTGCTTGTTAGGGGTCATCGAATTGAGGATGAGCTCGCTTCGTTCCTGCCCGGATGAAATATCGCCTGACCCCACAGTCAGTGAAACTCTCGCGCCCTTCCTCTCACCTTGAGCTCCTCGAAGCCAGGGTCCACATCTCGACAGAAGGCCTGGGAAAACGTTGAGCAGGAGGAAGTAGGAGGAGCAGGAGCAGGAGCAGGAGCAGGAGCAGGAGCAGGAGCAGGAGCAGGAGCATTTCTAGCTCGGAGATGCACTCACGTAGTAGTTGAAGGCGCCGTTCTTTTTGTACTTGTTGAAGATGAGGTTGAGATCATCCGTGCTCAGCTCCATCCGACCTGCTCCTCTCAGTTGCCAGCAGATCAAGGGAAGGAAGCGAGGGAGATGGAGGACGAGGACGAGGACGAGGATTACAACGAGGACGAGGACGAGGACGAGGGTTCACCTGTAAGCTGGTACATTCCTCGCAAGTACTGTGAGCGGGAGATACAGCCGGAGGACATGTTGATCATGGGGGTGCGCTGTGTAGTCTTCTTCATCCATGACCTGCGCTCATGTCAGCTGCTGCTTTCACCACCTGGTTGCCCTCACACGCTGGTGTTGAGGTAGGGGTCGAAATCTCCCAGCAGCTCCCGCGCTGAGATGCGGTCGGCGTAGATCTGCTCACTTACTCACTACTTCCTCGCTCGGCACCAACAGGCTGACCTTGTGCATGATGGCGGTCTTGAGCTCCTTGAAGCGCTTCTCCCCCTGATGACAGTCAGGAGAGAGGTTTGGGGGAGCAGCAGCAGGCAGCAGGCAGCAGGCAGCAGGCAGCAGGCAGCAGGCAGCAGGCAGCAGGCAGCAGGCAGCAGGCAGCAGGCAGCAGGCAGCAGGCAGGGGGATGAACCTCCTCTGATAGCTGCTGACGTGCCAGCGGCAGCTCATCCAGGCTCTTCTTGAAGTGTGAGGTGAACTCTTCGCTCCTTAGCTGCCACAGCAGCAGCATCAACCCAGTCTCCTTCCTCCTTTCCCCCTTTCCCCTTCCCCCTTCCTCCTCCCATCTTGGCTAGTTTCACCTGCTCGCTCATCCAGAGATATCGGTCGGGGAGAGTCATTGTGCCCCTGTCGTAGCTGGCCGAGTGATGAGAGACATTCTGATCATATCACAGTGAGAGAACAAACGAGAGCAGAAGCAGCAGCAGCAGCAGCAGGATGCAAGAACAAGGACAAGAATCATGCGAACGAAGACACCACCCATGACTGACAACTCACTGCAAGTAAACCTCCCACAAAACAACAACAGACAAGGAGTAGACATGATCGGAGCTTGCCTGAAGAACTTCGCAAAGAGCTTCATAGTTGATCCTCTCGTCCTTGTACGGCATGCCTGCCCGTTCCTCCTCAAAGTACGACGCCAGCATGTCGAACGCCTTGTCTGACAGGTCGCTCAGACACCCGCACTGATCAATGGCTCGACGGAGGTTGATCTTGGAGATGAAGCCGGAGTAGCGCTTTTGATGGCGGATGGCTGGGGATCGGAGGGTATCGAACTCGGACACGAAGTCGAGGAGGAGGATGTTGCGTTGCTGGAAGCGATGGTGGATGAAGGCGAGGATGTGGAGGACGCTGGTCTCGGGATCCTCCTTGTACCATCCTCTTGGAACCTTGGACATGCCATCGCGGTCAATCAGACTTGCCATCATCGTCCCGTCCATCGTGACCTTGATGTCTGTCCCGATGCGAGGGGTCACCTCAGTTGTAGTCCCATCCATCTGTGTGGGAGTTAGTGCATGACAACATGGCGGGGTTGGAAGCATATTGACACAAGCACATGTGCTGCTCTCCTGCTCTCCTACTCAGTAGTACTCCTGCTCCTGCTCCTGCTCCTGCTCCTGCTCCTGCTCCTGCTCCTGCTCCTGCTCCTGCTCCTGCTCCTGCTCCTGCTCCTGCTCCTGCTCCTGCTCCTGCTCCTGCTCCTGCTCCTGCTCCTGCTCCTGCTCCTGCTCCTGCTCCTGCTCCTGCTCCTGCTCCTGCTCCTGCTCCTGCTCCTGCTCCTGCTCCTGCTCCTTTATCCTGCTCTGTTGAGTCTCTCTCCTGAAACAGACAGGCCCTATGGGTCAACGGCTCGGGCCATTTTTCAAGTCTGCCTCAACCAGACTGATAGTCTGATCTGAAAGGCAGAAAAAGTATCTTCAACAATGAATAGAGTAGGACTCGGGCAGAAGTGATTGCCTTTCACATTGTTCTACCAAGCATGGGATGCGGACTCTCCTTCACCCGCGTCCCTCAGCTACAAGCAGGGAGGGAGGGAGAGACGGAGGGTGCGAGGGTGAGAGGAGGGGACGGGGGGAGGATGGAGCCTGAGGGAGGGACGAGGGAGGTCTTAGCTAGAGCCCTGACATCTCCTCGACTTCTGTCTTGACAAGCCTCGTTATCATACAAGGTGAACTTAATCTACATGTTCCCCTCTCAGGGCCCGCTGTACCCCGATACATTCCGAAGGTCCTTGAGCCATGCAGGATCTGGTTCTGAAGGCCCTGCGGTAGAGCAAGTAAGGATACGACAAGATCGAGCAGAGGAGCAACAAGCAAGAGGAGGATGGGACAAGAGCAAAGGGAGGGGAGCGAAGGGAGAGCGACGCAGCCAAGGGGCAGGAACAGACCTGAAGGAGCTGATGTCTTCTTGGGAGCAAACCGATGCCAATCGGCGTCATCCCCACAGCCAGCGGGATCGTTGCACGGAACAATGAGATCTCCCTTACGCCCGATCGTGGGGACTCTCTTGTCTTGTTCCTCCGCCTTCCGTTCAGCCTCCAGCGCTCGAGTGTCGGTGTGGAGCGATGAGACAGGGTTGAAGGAGAAGGCAGCTCCATCACAAAGGTGCGGATCCGACGAGGCTTCTTGGTCGCAGCGAACTGACACAAGTCAGCACCAGCCATGCGAGTCGCAATCTTACCCTGCGCGTCCATCGAGCGTCCGATCATGGGGGAAGGATACTCCGGATTCCGTTGGCCACTGGGCAAGGGATCACGAGGACGGCAGCTGCGACCAGGAGCAGCACGTCACCTGAACGCCCTCCACATGTACCTCAGCGCAGGGTCCACCACATCGTTCTGCGATGCGGACTCAACGTCGGAGTAGGGCACAACCCGATCGCTAGCGCCAACGACATGCTGGGCAAGAGTCAATCAGGACGCTCGCTCAAGCGAGGAGGAGGAGCACCTGTCCAAGGGGGTTGTTCTCCCTAATGGGCTCTGTCATTCCCATGTAGTTGTTGGAGTGTCCAACAGTCTCCCAGCTCTCGTGCAACCCCGCATATAGAGCTTTCCCAGGTGTCGAGCTCGTCAGCCGCAAACTCTGTGCCCTCAGTCGCTTTCTGTCTTTGAGCTGTAAACTAGGTCCCCTCCCTAACAAAGGAGGATCAGAAGGACCGCGGAGCAAGCTTCATGGGACCTCTTCGCACGTTTGCTTGCCCGTACCATTCATACATCGGCTGCTCAATCTTAAGGGGCGAAGAAAGAGCAAGGACGTCTGCAACCTTGATGTCTTGATAGGATGACCCTGATTCATAGGGATACAGTGGATACTGCGCTGGCTGCATGTACCCTTGAGGCCTGTCATACCCTTGAGCCGTAGATCATCAATCAACATCATTCTCCTCCTCTTACCTGTAGACATCAGCGTACGGAGACTGGATGTAGGGATAGGGCTGCAGAAGTCTCCTGAGCTGAACCGATCCAATCCCATCCGTACCTGTCCCACGATGAAGTCCAGCCCTGAAAAAGTTCCCTTTGCCGCTAGCTGCTGCGTGCTCAAGTCAGCCGTCAAGTCCTCCAAACAGTCAGGGTCTTCACCTCGCGCTCTCTGCTCGTGGACAACCTCACGGTGACCAGCACAAGGAACAGCGCCCTGGAAGGGAATATGACGAGAGCACCGCATTAGCGAGATTTCTTACCCAGCAGCAACTCCTCCTCCCATCAACATATTGTAGCTCCTTGGCCTCATCCTGCAAGTAATTTTACATCTTAGAATACAAAGCTTAAGATGAAAGACACAGAACACATCCATTTCTGGCATGTCATGGGGTTTTCAAATCACACCTTTCAAGTCATAATCTCAACTTCTCACTCTCGCATCCCTGCTGATCTCATCTCAAACATCTCTACCAGCTATCCATTGCAGGTTCTCCATGGAATACCTCAGTTTTTCTCGGCATGGTCACCCTCACATAGAACTTAAATCATCCAATTCCTCTTTCAATCCTTCGCTCATGTGTCGTTCATCAATCTCAACTACCTGTATCCTCCATTTTTCTCTGTCCTGCTCTCCTAGCGCATCACTCCTCCCTCTTCGCTCCTCCTTGTCCAGCAAACTCTCCTTTCCTTCCCCCTACCATTCCTACTCCCGCTCCCCAAGAGCCACAAAGTCATCGCCCTCTTCCGCAGAACACTCAGACAGGCGGGCCCCAGGGCGGGCCGGGCCCGCGGCTGCCGAACTAGGCAGTACGGATCGGGGCCGGGCCGGGCCGAAACAGGCTCGGAGTGATTCAGTGCGGCGCGTGCCGCGCCGCTGCAATCATCATCTTCGGGGCTCGTCACCCACGGTGGCACGCCGGGTGCTCAGAGTCATACGGTCAGGCTTCTCAGGCTGATCCCGGAGTCCCGCCGGCGCCGCTAATCGGACTCCCCCCCCCCAGGGCCAGCGGCGGCGCGGCCCGGGCCCTGATACTTCGGACCGAAGCAAAGACCACTGATCAGTTCATCAAGTGAAGTGTATAGATCTCCAACTGAGAAATGGAGCAGTATCTCCGACCTTCAAGTTCTAATGCTCACTGCCGTGACAATCAATGAATTGCAATGCGGCGATTTGGTAAGGAAAATAAAGAGGAATGAATAGATTTTTTGATCAAATATAAAAGGCATTAAGACCGAGCACCCCCTTAGCAAGACGGCTAGGAAGGCCTCCTCTTCGTTCGATGGTCATCATGTGTTAACTCGGCGCTATATGACTGGCACGGCTGGCACTCAGCGGCCGCATGCGACTCCGTACGGTCATCATGCACTCAGCCAGTGGCACACGGTGACTCGGTTAGGCCGCCGGGGCGGCCCGGTCCGAGCAGCAGTGGGCCCCGGGGCGCGGCCCGGCCCGGCGGAATCGGTGATCCGGACAGGCACTCGTGCGAGCCTCCGGTACTGAACTTGGAGTGATCGTTCAGCGGGGCCCGGTTGATATAGACTGAGAGGGTGGGGGGTAGGGTGCGAATGTCCCCGCTATGACCTATGGTTATAGTGAGGTCATAGTGGAGTAGTACCATGGGGCTTTGACCCCAGGTCACCAGAGTTAACTGCCCTGGGCCCGGCCCTCCTTGTGAACTTGTCCTGCTTGTCCTGCTGTGCTCCCGTCTTGTGCTGCTGCCCGCCTGCTCCTCTTGTACCTGCTCATCCTCCTACGCCTACTCCTTCTCCTTCTCCTTCCGAGTTCTCCTTCCGAAGTTCTCCTTCTCCTTCTCCTTCTCCTTCTCCTTCCGAGTTCTCCTTCTCCTTCTCCTTCTCCTTCTCCTTCTCCTTCTCCTTCCGAGTTCTCCTTCTCCTTCTCCTCCCACCTGACACATCCCCTCCTCACTTGCCTTGCCTCCCACTTGTCAACTCCTCTCCCCTCGCCCTGCCTTCAACTGCTTCTGCATCCGATTAGGGCATGAAAGGCAATCTGACAGTATGACATGACAAGAATCGCCTCCCCCCCTCCCCTCCCTCCTCTGACCTCGGCCTCAGCATCCCTTGATCAACATCCATCCACAGCAGACCCGCCGCTAAATGAAAGTTCACCCTCTACGGATGATCAAGATGTGATCGCTACAGCTCTAGCGGCTGACTCCACGAGCCCTGATCACGATGTAGCTGATGACCGTCCAACAGAATCAGTCTCGGCGACGTTGCCAGAGCAAACCCCCTCAACTTCTCTCACCAGCGAAGCTGATGCTCCTCCCCTCCCTGCCCACCCCGATGTTTCCCTTCCCGAGAAACCTCCGCAGGAGGCGCCGCCTGCTCGGGCTCCCTTGCTCCAACGGGGCTCCTTCGCGTTCGAGCCTCTGCAGCGATCTCCTTCCTTCATCCCGCAGTTTCTGTTTCAGCGATCTCGCTCGTCGAGGACTGATCTCACGCAGCAGTCTGAGCACATTGCTCTCGATGTGCTTCCTATTTCCCGCCGTTTGTCCTCTCATCGAGGCTCAGTGTCTCGGCTCGTGGGCTCCGTTCCTGCTCCTTTCATGCGCAGGCAGTCAAGCCGAAGAGTAGACTTCTGTGAAGAGGAGGAAGAGCTCAAGGGCCTGCTGCAACAGATCTACGAGAAGCTCGAAGACGACGACAAAAGGATCAAGGACAAGGAGTACGGAGCTCTGTTTGAAACCATCTCGCACGATGCTGCCAAAGTGAGTGTGTCAGGGGGGCTCGGAGAAGTGTTGATCCGGCTGGGAATAAGGATCGAACTGGAGCATCTTCAGAGCGTGATCCATCAGGTGTGTCAGACACAAGGGAGGGAGCCGGACGATTGGGTCGGCACAGGGATAGCGCTGAAGAAGCCGGTGTACCACGAGCTGACGCGAACCGAGTTCATCGATGTCATGGCCATCATCACTCGCAAGAACGACACCAAGCACCGGCTGCTCCGCGCAAAGAGGATGTTTGCTCTGCTCGATGTGGATAAGGCCGGTTTTCTTGATTGCCAGAAACTTACCAACTTCTTGCAACACAACACCATCAACTTCCTGCCTGAGCGGCTCTCCACGATCATGGACGTTGTGGTTGGGAGCGGGAAGGACATCAGCATGGAAAAGTTTCTGCTGCTGATGGGCTTCGAGGGCGTCCAGGAAGCTGACTTGGAGAGCATCGAGCTGCAGGAGCGCCGGGCGAGGCTGCAGGAGGCAGTCACGACCTTCCACACCTTCGACGAGGATGGGAGTGGGACCATCGACACCTCGGAGCTGACGGGGATCATGAAGACGATGGGGCAGAAGATGACGCAGGAGGAGGTGGAACACATGTTCTCCCTCGCTGACAAGCACGGGACCGGGGAGATCGACTTTGAGAATTTCTGTGAGTGCTTGCTGGCTCGACTGAAAGCCCTGCTGACGCGCTTGATCGGTGACAGGCTACTACGTGCTGGGCATTTCCAAGCTTGACTTCAAGCAGATGCTCGACGCTCATCTCAAGGAGCCCGTCGTGGTCGAGAGCGTTGGCTCGAACGTGCGGAGGAAGGGAATCGACCAGCTTGTGCCCGAGGCGATCAAGCGAGCGAGCTCGGGGGCGGAGGAAGAGAGTATAGAACGGACTGCCAGCACCAGTCAGGATTTCGTGTGGCAGGACTTCGGTCAGTACGGGAAGATGATGTTTGAGTACGTGATGCACAGAAACGAGGCCGAAGGCATGAGCAGCAACCTCGTACGCCGCGTGCTGATGCGCCCGCTAGCTCTCACCGTCCACAAGCACCGAGTCATCGTCACCTGCGCCAGGTTCGATCCCAGCGGGACCAAGGTCGCAGTGACGAGCACGGACGGCGACCTGCGGCTCTTCGACCTCTCCAAGCCCAAGGCGAAGCAGCTGGCGATGGCAATGGCGCACGACCACATGGCCCTCTGCTTGGAGTGGCTGCCAGAGAGCAAGGGGATCGTGACCGGGTCTGCCAACCACTCCATCTCCTTGTGGTCCCCCGACACCCTCGAGCTCCTGTGCTCCGACACCCTCCTGCACACGGGCTACGTCAGAGCGGTCGCCTGCTCTCCTGACGGGGAGCAAGTGGCGTCGGGGGGCTCAGACATGGTGATCTGCATCAGGAGAGTGACGAGCTCTCCTGTGCTCTTTGCGCCCGGAGGGAAGCATCTGGTCGGACACAGCTCGTGGGTCCGGTGGATTCACTTCACCCGAGACAACAAGCGGCTGATCAGCGGCAGCGACGACCAGACGGTGATGGTGTGGGACACCAGGACAGGCGCTTCCATGCAGACGCTCCGAGCTCACTCGCACACAGTCTCGGGGGGATGCTCCCTCCCCAACAACCGGCTCTTCACCTGCGGGTTCGACGAGAACCTGCTGCTGTGGACGCAGGACACGGGTCTGCTGGGGTACCTGCGAGTGTTTGTGGCAGAGGCGTTCGACCTTCCTCGAGGAGATCTGCTGAGCGGGACCATGAGCAACCAGCGGTTTGTCAAGGTGGAGCTGGGAAAGGGCCAGCAGGAGCAGACGAAGTTCAAGGGAGGGCGATCGCCGCAGTGGTACGAAGAGTTCAACATGAACGTGTGGAACCTGGACGAGCGGGTGAACATCCAGGTGTACGACTGGGACAAGGATGAGCAGCATCGCTTCCTGGGGGACCTGTCGATCCCCCTGGAGGAGCTGGTGTATGCCGATGAGGGGATTACTGACAGAGAGTACGACTTGCACGATGACGAGGGAAACGTGGGCAAGTCTTCGATCGCCCTGCGGTTCACGTTCCGTCAGATCAAGTGCATAGGAGAGCTGACGGTGACTCATTCCACCTCTGCTGCTACATGCGCTCAACGTGCTGTGATGATGGTGTTGCAAGTTGTTTGACTCCGCATGTTGATGATGACGGAAGCTCTTTCTTGGACGTGTTGTGACGATGTTGATACATGTTCTTTCTTGCACGTGTGCTTCAACCTCGGTGTTGCTTCTTCTCTCTCTCTCTCACTACCTGTCAGGTAATGATCGAGAACGCGAGGAATCTGCCTCGCATGGACACCTTCGGCCTCTCCGACCCCTTCTGTGCCGTCACGTGCGGCAAGGGCGTGCGCCACAAGACCAAGGTGATCAAGAACACGCTCAACCCGACATGGCACGAAGAGTTTGTTTACAAGTAAGAAGAGGCCCTGCCCTTGCCGCGTTCTCATGCTCTTGCAGCGTCGAAGACAGCGCGAGGGAGCTCAAGATCGCCGTGTACGACTGGAGTCTGACCAAGGAGGAGGACTTCATCGGGCAGGTGACGTTCCCCATGTCGGAGCTGGTCGCCTCCTCCTACATCAACGACTGGTTCAAGCTGCGCACCATGGACCAGCAGGAGGCCAAGGGTGAGATCCAGCTCAAGATCAACTTTGTGTCCGAGGAGCAGCGGGACAAGGGAATAGTCCGGTACAGGAGGAACCCAGCTTCATGGCCAGCTAGCGAGCCCACGGACTTCAACTACTACTCCCCTGTCGGGCAGCTGAAGCTGCTGGGGAGAACGATACTGAGAGGAAAGTGCAAGCACTGCAACAAGCACCGGGGCAGCCATAGCAAGAATCTGCGCTGCGACCTGGGGCTAGGCAACTACCTGCACTGCATCGCCGTCTCTAGCGATGGCGCTTTCCTCGCCTGGGGTACCGGAGACGGTCGCATCCGAGTAGCCAACACCATGACCGGGCAGCAGATCGCTTGCTGGACGGCCTACGCCGGGCCCGTGCGGGGCCTTCACTTCTCGCATGGCGACTTGCGACTCCTGTCATGGGGCCCCGACGCGAAGGCAACGCCGGCGAGCGACTTCGTGATGGGGTCGTACATGCCCAAGGACAGCAAGCAGCAGGAGGTGGGAAAGCGAAACGCCGTGGACGTGTGGTACCTGGGGAGCATGGTGAAAGCCGTCGACATGCTGCACGGGCAGCAGCGACGAGACTCGTCTCAGCTGGGAGCGTCGAAAGGATCGCGAGATGAAAGCGAGGGCAACAAGTCACCCTCGCAGCAGAAGGAGGGAGAAAAGAGCCCAGACGAGGAGGAGGAGGAGGAGGAGGAGGAGGAGGAGGAGGAGGAGGACGAAGAGGAGGACGAGCAGGATGAGCAGGAGGCGAACGAAGAGAAAAACGAAGAGGGCACGAGCGATTCGTCCAAGGACAAGGACAAGGACAAAGGCAAGGGCAAGGGCAAGGGCAAGGGCAAGGGCAAGGGCAAGAAGCATGAGGTAGAAGTCTTCAGGAAGAGTCGCAACTTTCGTCGGAAGCTTCCAGGAGCGAAGATGGGATACACGGCCGTGTACTACCCTCCTCCCTTGCTCATCGACGGGAAACCGGCCCGGTCCTGTCTCAAGGGCAGCCCCTACTGCGTCCGACCTACTACCGTCCTCTCAGCAGGGATCACCTTCCACGAGGAGGAGGACCCCGAGATCTTCTTCTACCCCCCCGAGTACCCGACGGAGAACGGCAACGACGATGAGGACGGGCACGATGCGAGTGAGGATGACCCCGCAGCGCAGCGGAGGGAGAGGAAGAGGGAGCGACGAGCGAAGGAGCGAGCGGAGAGGAAGAAGAAGATGGAGGAGGTGGGCGAGTGCGACAGCGGGCTGTGTTGAACCTTGACATTCTTGTTGCAGGAGGAAGCAGCTGCGATCTCCCAGGACCCGCAGGAGGAGAGCAAGTGACTAGAGCACGTGACTAGAGCACGTGACCAGCTTCTTCATCTGTAGGTGGGAGCGATTGAATTGTCTCCGAACAAGAGGACGAACTCGCTGCACGTCAAGTCAGACGGCAGCCTGACAGCAAGAGCTCTGTACCTTTCACAGAGGGCAAACCGAAGGGTGTCGGCGTTCTTGAGGCGGTAGAAGACCATGGGCTGAGGTGTTGATGTCAGCCTTACCCCTTGACCTTCAGCTCGTCACCTCTGTTGGCATGCCGTTGAGAAAGCTCCCGTTGGTCGACCCCTGGTGTCGTGCTTGAGCTCTAGAGCCTCGTCTCCTCACTCACCAGGTCGATGAAGTAGGGATCTCCATCCTCTGCGCACCCGCATCAGCCCCCAGCAGCTTCCCAGCTGTGACTCACCGATCTTGTCGTCCTGCTGCATCTCGTCCCTGACATGTCCACGTCACGACCGTCCGACCCGCCACGTCACACCTCAGGATCGTCATGTGCTCCGATCTCTTGATGTTGGAGCGGTACTGGATCACCGCGTGCTGCCCTGCCGTGACTGGTGGGTGCCAGCTGGACTAAGAGCCCCTCGAAGTACCTGAGATGGTGTGATGGTCCAGGATGACCGATCGAGCCCCCAAGATCTGTCGAACGGCTCCTTCCCGCCCTGAGTGCGGGTAAGAGGAGGGCCGAGGAGACGGAGGGCAACCGATGAGGTAGTAAGAGTTTGATGAGACATCGATGATGCGCACGCAGTTCCCGGCCTGAACGTCGCGTGAGGAACGAGCGACTTTCTTGGCAGGGAGCGGACGGAAAATTCGTAGAGCCTCCATGGCTTCTTGGGCAGAGAGCTCTCCGGGGGCTCCGTGTACTTGAGCTGCTCTATGGGTTAAATGCAGAGGAGGAGGAGGAGGAGGAGGAGGAGGAGGAGGAAGAGGAGGAGGAGGAGGAAGAGGAAGAGAGGACGAGTGGTGTGAGAGGAAGACAGGAGAAAAGGAGTTCAGAGGTAAGAGCACAGAGTGGAGGACGGGAAGGGAACGGAAGGGGGAAGAGAGAGAGAGGGGAATGATGGTTGGCGGGGGCGGTGGGGAGGCGGCGCGGGCAGGGACCTGGATGCCGAGTCGTTGTGCCAGGGCGACCAAGTGAAGGTTGGAGGGCTGGTGGTAGAAAGGAGCCGCCTGGGAGCCTGGAATCGAGCTCCTCCAACTTTCAAACTGAGCGGCGTCAGCAGCAAACCTCCCTCCGAACGAGGGTGTGCTGGGGCTGGGAGGATACTTGAAGGATGGAGTGCCAGGGTGGAGCACGGGAGGAGGAGAAGGGTTCCGCCACTTGCCCTTCCATCGGTCCTCAGGATCTTTCCGCGGACGAGGCCCCTTGCGCGTGCTCAACGTTGTTCGTTGCCCCATGGACGTGTTTGGCATGATATTCTTGCCCTCCGCATGCTGGAACAAGACATCTGTCGCCGTCAACATCTCCATCATGAACTCTGCCGACCTCCTGGGGGAGCGCATGAGGAGGAGAGCAAGGGAGCAGCTGCAAGAGGTACCTTGCCTCATCCACAATCTCCTTGTCCTCATCGATGGTGAGATTGAGCTCATCGATGAAGGAGTAGTTGGAGATGAAGGTGGAGAAGTTGTCAAGGAAGAAGGCCATCTACAGGTTGAGCAAGAAAAGAGGGTTCTCATCACTCCTTTGATCCTCCCTTTCTCGCCCTCTCCCCGCTCCTCCTCATCCTCCTCCTCCTTCCACCCCACTCCACCCCGCTCCTCTTCCTCTTCCCCTCTGCCTCTGCGACTTCTTCCTCCTCGGCCTACTCCTCCCCCTCCCCCTCCTGCTGCCCCTCCTACTCCTCCTCCCCTTCCCCCTCCTCCTTTCACACACCTGCCAGTACGTCATAGCAATGGAGTCGTTCATAGCCTTGGTCCTGTTCTGTTACCGCAGTGTCAGCCAACGCCATGGAGCATTTCAAAATTCCTGAGGAGGAATCGTCCCAGGGTCCTCGCGGGGAGAGGAAGGGAGGTAATCGTCCCATTTGTGTCTCTGTCCTCCACATCAGGACCTGCTCTCCCCTACACTGTCCTTCACCTCCCAGTACGCAGCAGCTTGCCTCCCCACCAGCGACTGAAGGTAGCCAGTCAGGGTCCCCCACCACTCCTCCGCCTCCTCCACCTCCAGTTCGTTCAGGCTGTCGAAGACTTTCCCCTTCGACGCGAAGTTCACGTAAGTTGAGTTGTCCTGCCGTCAAATCAAACAGGCAGGTCATAAGGACAGGTAGCACATGTTCGGTCTTGTTCTCGACTTCGATGGCAGCTGCTCCACTACAGTCAGACAAACACAGTCGGCCAGCAAGCAAGCTCACGGCTTTGAGTCGCCACAGGAAGATTCGGCGGCTCCCGTCCCTGTGCAACTTGCTCCTTACAAGTCAGGACAGGAAGGCACAACCGACCTGAGCCACCATGGCCTCATGGAGAGTTTTGTTCTGCTCTGGCGTGAAGGTGAGAAGGATATTCCTGGAAGAGACGTCAGAGTTGGAGGAAGAGAACGTTGCTGCTCACCTGTGCTGCCGGATGAACTGTTCCTGGAGGGCCTCGTACTCTCTGCATGGGGTGAGGAGGCGGGAGGTAAGAGAGGAGAAAACCTTGTTCTCGCTTCCTCCTCGTCGATTTCAAGCACGGTATCTGGGTCTAGAGGCTTCCAAGCCAGCTCGTAGCTCGGCCAGGTCTCCCCAGGCACACTCTCCTCGAATTCTTCCAGTTCAGCCTGAAACCCAGAGCTCTCCTCCTCGGGCTCGTCGAAACAGATCTCCTCCGCAGACTCTCGCATGCTGCGCTTGCGCATTGGCGGAGAGCTCGGGCTGATCATTCGCTTCCGAGACACCTCCTCCTCCTCCTCCTCCTCCTCCATCACGGTGGTCAGCTTGTCGCAAATCTCTTCTGCCTCTGCATCGTAGTAGTATCCCGGGTACCTCAGGTCCGGTGGAGGCACCTTAACGATCGGTAACGAAGACGCCTCCCTCCTCCCCCCCCCTCTCCTCACCTCCAAACTCCTCCGATGCTTGTCAAGAACAGACTTAGGAGGCAAAGTCGTCGGCCTGCCAGCGCTCCCCTGCTCCGCCCATAGAAAGGACGGAAGCGCCTTCCCGGCCTCCGATACTGCCCATGGAAGGACCCTCGTGGCCTTCGCTGCATGTAGTCTCCGCGACCCCGCGCGCTCGACCGATAGTTCGACTGCCATAAGGCGGTTAGGAAGAAGCCGACAAGCCGGTCAAGGAGCAGAGTAGGAGTGCGGGGGGAGCGGCGGAGGTTGGAACCAGGGAGCAAGGGAGCAGGAGAGCACGGAGCAGGAGAGCATACAAGGAAGTGACAGCCAAGTCACCTGCCAAGGCGGTCGGTCGGAGGAAGGGTACGATCTCCCTATACCATCCTCTCACAATGACGATGAGGGAACACAAGGAAGAAACAACCTCTGCCTGATCCCCCGTTGTAGACGACATCCTCATCATAGTAGTCACTCCCACCTCGAAGCAGGAGACGCCTGTGGCTCCATCCTATCGCTCCCTCTCTGCGTCATCTCTCAAACCAACCCCCTTCACAGATAACAGCACCTCGCTCCCCCTCCCTCCGACCTCATCGCAATCACAAACATCTGCGCTATGATCATGATACAGCTCCTCCCAGGGCTGCCATGCTGTCTTGCTGTCGATCTCCTCATCTGCCATGTCGGTGCCATTGCGAATATTGTGGATTGCAAGTAAGCTATGCAGGGGACTTCTGGGAAGAGGAGATCTCGATGTTTTCAACGACGTTGAGCCGATTGTCGCCCATGCAGATCACCTCGCAATCCGCCGTCTTGGCAGCATGTCTGGAAGCTGAAAGCAGGAGATTCAAGGATACCCAGGTCTTACAGGAAACTTGGTGGATCGTGTTGCTGTGCGTGTAGTGGAGGGAAGAGGTACTCGAATGTCGAATGAATCAGGGGAGCGAGAGGCGAGGGGAGGAGATGGGAGGAGAGGAGAGGAGAGAGGGAAGAGGGGGAGAGGGAGAACAGTGGAGAGAGGGGAGCAGGTAACCGTGAAGCAAGGAAGAAGCGGATGGGGGGAGGAGGAGGGGGGATGCGAATGCGAAGGTTCGCGAGCGAGAGAGCGGGAGGGGGAGGCGCACTGTGCGGTGAAGTAGTAGGGGTGATAATTCAGGGAAAAGAAGGGGTGGGGGTAATATTTGAGCGGGGATGAGGGGGGATATGGGATGTCTGAGGGATGAGGGGGGATGGGGTCACGAACTTCACGTGCCATGGCAAGAGGCGGGTCGGTGGGGGCGGGGCGGAAGATGGAGTGGAGGAGGAGAAGGAAGGAGGGAGAAGGGAGAAGAGGAAAGGGACAGAAAGAGGACGAAGAGGTAGGGCCAAGGAGAGGAGAGGCAGTCCCAGCCTGGATTGGGTTTGGGAATTTCGACTGTCCGAAGATTTGCAGGGTAGAAAAAATCATCTAGAGCAGGTTCGATGCAGTGCAGCACCTTTGCCAGATGAAGAGTCTTGCATGCACATGATCATGCACATCTTTGATCGAGCCTGATGGCTACTCGCTTCACAGGTCCATGGTTGAAACCATGGACATCGAGCTACCGCAAGGGTCGGATCCACCATGTACGAGGCAGAGCAATATCGACTCGTACGTGGATCGCATGTTAGAACCATCGAATGATCCAGTAGAGGTCCGTCATCACAAGCTTGTGGCTGCAATGGTCATCACCCTTACCCAGGTCGCCCACTCGTGTGGCTCGATGCTTCCCACGGTGATGCGCACCATGATGTCGAAATCGGTCTTGGCGGACTCTTCTTTCTTCTACTCCTGTCAGGCTGCAAGCAGGTAACTGCACCATCAAACAACTTGTTGTTCTTGCGACTTTGTCCTCTTGTTCATGTGCTTTCACGTTGTTGTTCATCTGACTTCATCTTGTTTGCCCGTCTTCTAATTTCACCTTCTCCGTAGGATCCTCCCGTTCTATCCAAGCACGTTAGACACGCTGTTGCGAACGTTTAGAACTTCACGATCACTGATCGCGCTAGTCGAGGTTTGACATGTCACGTTGTCTTCCTCTGGAATAACAGCTCTGTTCAAGAATGCTCCTGAAGACGACGAGGATAAGTACAACTACACCAAACTTAACGTTCTCAAGACAGTCTTGAGGCTGATTGAAGTGAATTCTGACTCTTTCTCATGACTCGTCTGACCGCTAGACCTTCAGGGAGCTACCAAGGAGCTAGCGCACATGTGGGAGTGGACGCCTCTGCTGAAGTGCTTGGTAGTGATGAGTTTGACTCATGTCCCTGCTAAGTTGCCCTCTGCTCAGAAATCTTCTTCTTCTCGTCAGCGATTCTTTGCAGGTCTGACGCTCGAAGATCTTTCCTCCTGCGCTGATTGCTTTACAGCGCGAATCCTCAGCAAGATCCTCAGGCTGACAGAAGAGGACAGGAAAGCTCTCTTTGACAACTCGTCCTTGACCTCAGCCAACTTCGGTGTGAATGCCTTGGTTATGTGCAACTTTGCTTACACGTGTTTGATTAGAACTGGTGAAGGAGATCCTTGAAGACTACCTGTCTGCGCAGGAGCTGCCTTTCTTCTCCCCCAACCTCGAGGACCTTGAGGCGGTTTCCGTGGAGACGAGGGTGAAGCTTGACGACGTCGAGGAGCAGAAGGCGAGGATGGAGGTGGATTTCTGCGGGGTGACGCTGCCAAGACTGCCAGAGGATCACCTCAGCTGGAAGAGGAGCTCGTCAGACGGCAGGAGCAGCGCCCCCCCCAGCAAGGCCAGCAAGTTTGTGCTCACCCCGACAGTCAGGCGCAGCTTGTTCAGCTTAGGAACGGCCCTCTGTAGAGAAGACCCGATCTTGGTAGAGGGCCCGCCGGCGTCGGGGAAGTCGAGCCTGATAGATCATGCTGCCTGTCTGCTGAACGCAATGGACGGGCTGATCCGCATCCACCTCGATGATCAGATGGACTCGAAGACACTCCTGGGGTCGTACGTGTGTACAGACACGCCTGGGGAGTTTGTGTGGAAGGAGGGAGCACTCACGCAGGCGGTACAGCAGGGGAGGTGGATTGTGATCGAGGACATTGACTTGGCTCCGTTCGATGTGCTCGCTGCGATCATCCCCCTCCTCGAGTCCAACAGGCTCTACCTGCCTGCTAGGGACAGCAGCATAGTGGCGCATGCCGGGTTTCGGCTCTTTGGGACGAGGACGGTGGGAAAGCTTGCGAGGAAGGAGTCGGCGGCTGTTCAGATGATCCAGTCTCTGACGACTCAAGTGTTTGTCGAGGCATGGAAGGATGAGGAGGTCAGGGAAGTCGTTGGAGTCCTGTTCCCCTCCCTGCTGGACGCGGGACTGGTCGAGCCGATCGTGGAGGTGCATCGGCTGATGACGTCAGCACGAGCCGAGACGGTCATTGACGGGGTGAGAGTTCGCCGTCAGCTGACGGTGAGGGACCTGCTGAAGTTCTGCCGGAGATGCGTCAGCTCGATCAGGGGGAGCTCGAACTCGAGCGGTTTCATGACGGAGAGGCAGCGGGAGCTGGTGCTGAAGGAGGCGGTGGATTGTTTCTGCAACATGATCAACAGCGAGGCCGATCGGGTCACGATCGCCAAACGTCTCGGATTGATCCTCCACCTGCATGAGCAGAAAGTCGAGTTCATGCTTGAGAAGTCTCTGCCTGAGGTGAACATCCAGAAGGATCATCTCCAGGTGGGAAGAGTCTTCTTGGACGTCGACAGCAACTTCCTCAGTACAAGGTGAGATGCTACAACGTACCTCTCTCCCTCCCTGCACCTCTCCCTCCCTCCCTCCCTGCCCATATCCCTCCCTTGCCTCCCCTCCTCCCTCCCTCCCTCCCTCCCTCCCTCCCGCTCTCCTTCACCCTTCCTTTCCTTCTCTTCTGCTAACATGCCTTCAGAATCCGGAGCATCGAGCTCGACCGCGAGAACTTCTGCAGGACTCGGCGGACGCTGCAGGCCATGGAGGCGATTGCAGCTTGTGTGTACCACAACGAGCCCGTGCTGCTGACGGGAGAGACTGGCACAGGCAAGACAACTATCGTACAGTACGTGGCGTCTCAGGTGGGAACGAAGCTGGCGGTGGTGAATCTTTCCCAGCAGACAGACTCTGGCGACTTGCTGGGGGGGTTCAAACCGATCGACGTGAGGTGCCTTGCTCAAAGCCTGCTGGACGAGCTGCTAGAGTTGCTCCCAAGGGTGACGAGCAAGTCGAAGAACTCGTCGTTCCTGCAGGCGTGTAAGAACAGGTTCGAGGCGAAGAACTGGAAGGGGATGGTCAAGCTGCTGAAGCAAGCGACGCAACTGGTGGTGAATTTGAAGGGTGAGAGCTCGGAGGATGACATGGAAGAGGGAGGAGAGGGGAAGGGGAAGGGGAAGCGCAGGGCTGAAGAGGACGAGAGCAAGCCGTCCAAGACTCTGAGCAAGAGAATGAGGAGGCGGTGGGATGTGTTTGCGGAGAGCGTCGCAGAGTTTGAGAGGAAGGTAGAGAGCACGCAGGGCAAGTTTGCCTTCACGTTTGTTGACGGGATACTTGTGAAAGCGCTGAAAGAAGGTTTCTGGTTGTTACTGGATGAGGTATACCTCCCTTCCCCTCCTCTCCTCCCCCTCGTGCCATGCCTTTCCCTCCCTCCCTCCCTCCCTCCCTCCCTCCCTCCCTCCCCCTCTTCCCTCCCTCTCTTCCCTCCCTCCCTTCTTCTCTCTCTCCTCCTTCTCTCTCTCCTCTCCCTATCTCTCTCCTCCCTCCCTCCCTTCCCTCTGCCTCGATCCCTTCCCCGCTTCTCCCACCCTCACTCCCTTCTTTCAGGTGAACCTTGCTCCTGCTGAGACTCTAGAGAGGCTGAGCGGGCTGCTGGAGGGAGAGCAGGGATCGTTATCGCTGACAGAGAAGGGAGAGGTAGAGGAGGTCAAGAGACATCCAAACTTCAGGCTGTTTGCGTGCATGAACCCGCCGACGGATGTAGGGAAGAAGGACCTGCCGATGACGATGAAGGCGAGATTCACCGAGATCTTCGTCGATGAGATCGAGAACGAGGCCGAGCTGAGGGAGGTTGTGCAGACTTACCTTGGTAAGACTGTCTCTGTTGCCCATGTCAACTCAGTCGTCAACTTCTACCTCAACGCTCGCGCCATGGCCAAGAGCAATGAGATCTACGACGGAGCCAACCAGCCGGTTCACTTCAACTTGCGCAGCCTCTCCCGCACCCTCAACTACGTCAAGTTCATGCAAGCCCAGGGCTACTCGCTCGACCGAAGCCTCTTCGAGGGAGCATGTATGGTGTTCTCAACACAGCTGCATCCCTCCTGCCAGCAGCTCATGGAGACTTGTATCGTCAAGCACCTCTGCAAGGCAGGAGCCAAGGCCTCCTCCTCCTCCTCCTCTCTGAGCAACGACGACGGTTACACCTGCATCGGGAGCTGCACCATCAACCAGCAGGTGCTCGCGGGCTTCTGGATCAAGAAGGGCCCTCACTTCGGTCAGCTCCCCATCCCAACCTTCATTCTCACTCCCTCCTGCCAGCTCAACGTCAGGAACATCGCGCGAGCCGCTGCCCCGTACCGCTATCCCATCCTGCTCCAAGGGCCGACGTCGGCAGGGAAGACAAGCATGATCGAGTTCCTCGCCGCCTCTGCCGGACACAAGTTTGTGAGGATCAACAACCACGCACACACTGACGTGCAGGAGTACGTGGGGGGATACACGACGGACGAGGAGGGGAAGCTGGTGTTCCAGGAGGGGCCGCTGGTGCAGGCCTTGAGGAGAGGACACTGGCTGGTGCTCGACGAGCTGAACTTGGCACCCACTGAAGTACTGGAGATGCTCAACCGACTGCTGGACGATAATAGAGAGCTGCTGATCCCCGAGACGCAGGAGCTCGTGAAGCCGCATGCCAACTTCCTGCTGTTCGCCACGCAGAACCCGGCAGGAGGAGTGTACGGGGGGAGAAAGATGCTCTCGCGCGCGTTCAGGAACAGGTTCCTAGAGGTTCACGTGGACGAGATCCCGCATGCGGAGCTGGTGGAAATGATGGAAAAAAGGTGCAAGATAGCCAAGTCGCGCGCGCAGAAGATCGTTGAGGTGATGAAGGAGCTCCACAGGAGGAGGCAGAGGAGTAACGTGTTTGCTGGCGGCCTTGCCTTCGTCACCCCCCGCGATCTGTTCAAGTGGGCCGATCGGATGGTGCTGGCGGACAACGACAACTACGATGTGCTGGCACAAGAAGGATACATGCTGCTGGCGGAGGGACAGAGGAAGGAAGAGGACAAGAAGTGCGTGAGGGAGGTGGTGGAGCAGACGATGAAGCAGAAGATCAACGTGGAGAGGCTGTATGAGTCAGGATGGGAGGGCGATTTGAAGGCGATGATGGAGGAGAGGGGAATGAGCATGTCGAATGATCTCATCCACGACCAGCTGTTCTCCGGCCTCGTCAAGACAAGGAACGCCAAGAGGATGCTGCGGTTGATGGCAAGGTGCATGAGATTCAGAGAGCCGATCCTGCTGGTCGGTGAGACCGGGACAGGCAAGACGTCCGTGTGCCAGGCGTTTGCAGCCGCGCTCTCTTCCAAGCTTCACATCCTCAACTGCCACCAGAGCACAGAAGCCTCTGACCTCATCGGAGGCTTCCGGCCGATCCGAGGAAAGGAGTCGTCAGTCGCGCACTTCCGCTCCCTCCTCGTCCGCTTCTACCGCGAGCTAGTCGCCTCGCTGCGCAAGGAGGAGGACGGGAGGGAGAAGGAAGGCGAGGGCGAGGAGGGAGAGGAAGAGAAGGGAGGAGCGACGTTGTTGTCAGCGCTGCTGCCCAAGGCATGGAAGGAGAAGGAGATGCAAGGCGAGGTGCTGGCACGGTCGATCGAAGGGAGCGACGTCATGGACCTGATCTCAGTGTTCGAGCAGACGAGGAGGAAGATGAAGGAGGAGGAGAAGAATGTTTCTTTCCCTCCCTCCCTCTCCTCCCTCGCACACGAGGTAGAGGAGGAGGTTCCCAAGTGCCGAGCCCTGTTCCTCTGGTACGACGGGCCGCTGGTGACGGCGATGAGGGAGGGTCATCTCCTGCTCATCGACGAGATCTCCCTGACTGACGACTCCGTGCTCGAGCGTCTCAACTCCGTGCTGGAGCCTGGCAGGACCATCACGCTGGCAGAGAAGGGAGGGGAGGTGATAGAGGCCCATAGAGACTTCCTGGTGTTCGCCACGATGAACCCTGGAGGAGACTTCGGGAAGAAGGAGCTCTCGCCTGCCCTCCGCAACCGCTTCACCGAGATCTGGGTCGACGCGATCAGCGAGCTGGAGGACCTGCGGTGTATCCTGTCGCTAAGGATGAGGGAGGAGCTTCAGAGAGCAGGCTATGGAGAAAAGCTCCTGCTGTTCTGGCAGTGGTTCTCCTCCAAGAACAAGGTCACCCTGAGGAGGATGCTGTCCTTGCGCGACCTCCTCGCCTGGGTTGAGTTCATGAATATCTCCAAGGATAACGGGCTGAGCATGCAGGAGGGCTTCCTGCATGGCGCCTGCCTCGTCCTCCTCGACGGCCTCGGGATAGGAGACGGCTCCTCAGAAGCGAGCGCGAGGAGCCTCAAGGAGGAGAGTCTTCAGTACCTTCACGCCATGCTCTCTGACAGCAGCACTTCTCCCGTCCTACAAGCGTCGCTCTCCTCCTCTGCTTTCTTTTCCTCTCCTCCTGCCTCTGTCGTCCTCACGCAGGAGAAGTTCGGGATCCAGCCCTTCTTCATCCCGCGAGGTCCCGCAGAGTCTCCTTCCTCCTTCGCCATGACGGCACCGACGACTTGCCAGAACCTGATGCGCGTGCTGCGGGGGATGCAGCTGAGAAAGCCGATCCTGCTGGAGGGCAGCCCGGGGGTGGGGAAGACGTCGCTTGTGCAGGCGCTGGCAGCAGTTTCGGGGCACAAGCTCGTGCGCATCAACCTGTCCGACCAGACGGACATGATGGACCTGCTGGGTTCTGACCTCCCCGTCGGAGGAGGAGGAGAGGGAGCAGGAGAGGGAGGAGGAGAATCGTCTCACTTTGCCTGGTGCGACGGTGTTTTCCTGCAGGCGCTCAAGGCTGGTGACTGGGTGCTACTCGACGAGCTGAACCTTGCTTCACAGTCAGTGCTGGAGGGGCTCAACGCTGTGCTGGACCACAGAGGAGAAGTCTTCCTCCCCGAGCTCGGCCGCTCCTTCTTCTGCCCTCCCTCCTTCCGCATCTTCGCTGCTCAGAACCCGCTGCAGCAGGGAGGAGGGAGAAAGGGGCTCCCAAAGTCGTTCCTGAACCGCTTCACGACGGTGAGGGTGGAGGAGCTGACGGCAGACGACCTGCTCTTCATCGCCCAGGCCTCCTTCCCGCAGATCGATGAGCCGCTCCTCCGCGGTATGATCGCCATGAACGCGGAGGTCCAAGTAGCCACCTCCTCCACCTTCGCCTCCTCCGGGAGGCCCTGGGAGTTCAACCTGCGCGATATCTTCCGATGGTGCGAGCTGATGGTGCAGTACCAGGAGGAGGGAGCATACCGGCCGCAGGACTTCGTTCCCTTCCTCTTCTCCCTCCGCCTCCGCACGAGCAGCGATAGGGAGCAACTGCAGGTCATCGCAAGGAGGCACTTTGACGACCTTCCTTCTCCCCTCCTCCACGTCCCTCACCGCGCCTCCGCTCCTCTCCTCCAGGTCGGCAAGGTCAGCATGCTCCGCAGCAAGAAGCCCGACGTCCTGCTCGACGACGCTCCTCCTCTCCTCCTCCCCGGCCACCTCCAGGCGCTGGAGGGCCTGATGATGTGCGTTGAGATGGGATGGATGGGGATAGTGATCGGCCCGTCGGCTGCGGGCAAGACAAGCCTTGTGCGCTCGCTGGCCGCTTCCTCGGGGAACAAGCTGAGGGAGATGGCGATGACGAGCGATACGGACACGACGGACCTGCTGGGATGCTTCGAGCAGCTAGAGCAGCACAAGAGGAGGAGAACCTTCCTCTCCTCCCTCCACGCCTGGACCGACGACCTCTTCCGCTACATCCTCGTCCACAGGAGCAGCGAGGCTACTGCGCTCGAGCACATGGAGGGTTTGAACGCCCTCCTCTCCTCGCTGAGGAGGACGCAGCTCAACGGCAGCCCGTTCGCCTCCTCCTGCAACCCGAAGCTCGACGGGGCCAGCAGCTCGAGCACCAGGGAGCAGGCAGGGTTCAGCGAGGAGGAGTTCCACATGCTGTCAGAAGTTCTCACGGCAGGCAGGAGGAGCGTGGAGGCGCTGATGAAGGAGGACGAAACCCTCCTCCCTCCCATGAAGGACCAGCTCCTCCTCCTCCAGCACAACCTCGCCGGGCTCCGGCAGCACAAGAACTCCTCCGCCTCCTTCTCAGCAGGGTTCGAGTGGATCGACGGGATCCTAGTGAAGGCGATGGAGCGAGGGGAGTGGCTGCTGCTGGACAACGTGAACCTCTGCAACGCAAACGTGCTGGACCGTCTGAACCCCCTCCTCGAGCCCCAGGGCGTCCTCCTCCTCAACGAGCGAGGGCTGGTGGACGGGGAGGTGCGGATAGTCCGTCCACACCCCAACTTCCGACTGTTCTTGAGCATGGACGCGCATCGAGGGGAGATCTCTAGAGCCATGAGGAACCGAGGGGTTGAGATCTGCCTGCTGGAAGAGCAGCTGGGAAGGAAGGACCTGGAGTGGATGCTGCTGGCTGCCGGGCTGCCGGGGCAGGAGCTCCTCCTCCTCCTCCTCCTCCTCCTCCTCCTTCTCCTCCTCCTCCTTCTCCTCCTCCTCCTCCTCCTCCTCCTCCTCCTCCTCCTCCTCCTCCTCCTCTTGCCTTCCCCTCACCTCCTCCTTCTCTCTCTCCATCCTCAAATGTTCACAGGCCCCAAGTTCAACAACCGTCATCTCCTTCACTTTGCAAGTACCCTGCGCTCTCTCCTCCCTCGCGGAGTTTCTTTCGCTCGAGCCTGGATATCTTCCACCTCCCTCATCTACGCTGGCTCGGCTCACTCGCAGGAATGGAGAGAAGAGTGCAAGTCAGCGTCTCTTGCCTTTCTCCAATCTCTCTCCTTCAGCGTCTCTCCCTCCTCCTCCTCCTCCTTCGTCATGCGGGCCGGCTACCTTTCGTCTTCGCTTCTACTGCATGAGAGTAACGTTTCACATCTGATACGGGGCGCTCAGAGTTTGCTGGAGGTGAGATGATGAACGAATTCTTGTTGAACCTCATCATCATCATCATCATCATCATCATCTCATCATCATCATCATCATCATCATCATCTTCTTCTTCTTCTTCTTCTTCTTCTTCTTCTTCTTCTTCTTCTTCTTCTTTCTCTCCGTGTTCCTTCTTCTATTGCTGTTGTCTTGCTTCATTGTATTGCTTCACATCTTGACATGTCCGAGCAGGCTGTAGAGAAGGAAGAAAATCTCCATCATGATCAGAAATCAGGTTCCAGCAGTCACTTTGGATGAGAATAGACTAACATAATTCAGCAGACCAGATGGTTGACAACAACAACAACAACAACAACAACAACAACAACTCAGAACATGTTCAAGTCAAACTTGCCGTCTCAACTTTCTTCCAGCAAGCATCACTGTCGGACTGGAACGATCGCTCCTTTTTCATCGGCATCATCGCCGGCATGTGCAGACGGCAGGAGCTCCGTCAGGTGCTGACGTCAGCACAAACCTCCTTCACCCAACTTGAGCCGCTCGTCGCCTTCAACCGCCTGGCTCAGCTACGAGGGTCGATGATGCAAGCATTCAGCGGCGATGCCTCGAGATTGCTTGCTCGTTCCTTCATCGAGATCGCGCCCATCGATGTCGACTTCGTCTGTCACTTCAACAACGGCGCCGTCATGCGCAGCCTGCGGGGCAGCGCAGGAAGAAACATCGACGTGCAGCATGATTTCTTGATGCAAGTCTGCACGCTGATCATGAAGAGGAGGCTGCATGGGGGATGGCAAGAGCTGAAGAAGACGAGCTCGTGGAGAGAGCTGTTCAAACACAATCATAGTACCTCCTCCATCGCCCTCGCTCATCAGCACAAGAGCAACCAGCACGAGGTCAACAGGTTCATAGACTCCTTGGAGGCGATCGAGATGTTGCAACTGCTGCTGAACAAGCTCTCCTCCCACATACAAGATCACCTTCCTCTGGCGCAGGTGCAGCTTGACAGCAAGCAGCTACAGGCCCTGATCCTCTCCCTCTCCCTCCTCGAGTCCTCCCTCCGGCGCCTTGAGGACCATCTCAGCGTCTCCAGCGTCTCCAGCGTGCGGGTTGAGGTCTGGATGAGCGAACTGATCGTCATGTGGCGCTGGTTCTTGAAAGCCGCGCATGCAGTCAACCAGCAGGCTTCTCCTGCTCCCTCCTCTTCCTCCGATGCTCCCTTGATGTCTCTCCTCCTCCCCCCCGAAGTCTCTGCGCTGATCACCAAGGTCGAGCAGTCGCTGCCTGCCCTGAGGAGCGAGGACACCTGCCTGTGGGTCAGCGTTGGAGAGGAGCACAAAGTTCGATCCCGCGCCTTCTGTCTTGCGCAAGGCATAAGGAGCGAGTGCAGGTTCTTCGAGATCAGCTGGAAGGACGTGCAAGCCAGGTTCTCAGCTGGAGGCGACATGGAGGAGGAGGAGGATCTTCGCTTTCCCCTCGGCATCGCTTTCCTCGACAAGGAATTCCGCAAGACTGCCATGGAGGCGTATGCGGCCCTCTGCTTCATGCAGGAGGAGGAGGAGGAGGAGGCGCGAGATGAGAAGGAGGAGGGGAAGGAGAAAGAAAACCCTCTGCTGGAGAAGATCGAGCAAGTGACCAGGTGGCTGAGGGAGGAAGGAAGAGACGAGCTGCTGGTCCGCAATGCCAACGTGGTGGACGTGGGAGGAGGAGCGAAACTTCCGCTGCCGACGAGCATGTTGAGAGCGGAGACATGGAAGGTCGTCCTGATCCCTTGCATGGACTACTGGAGCATGAGGAGAGAACTTGTGCTGCTGCAGACTTGCCTTGCCGACGTCGTGAAGCTTCACTTGAGGGAGGTCCGTTCATCTTCTGTGCCTGGGAGGAAGCAGGAGGAGCTGGAGCAGGACCAGGAGCTGGAGGAGCTGGGGTTCAGTGAGAAGGAGGAACAAAGTTTCATCCTTGAGAGCCTCGTGAGCACGTCTCGCTCCCCCCTCGACTTCGCCCAGCACCAAGAGTTCTGCTGGAGGATGAGGACGATTCGGCTGCATGACCAGGGCACCACCACCACCACCTCCTCCTCCTCCTCCTCCTCCTCCTCCTCCTCCTCCTCCTCCTCCTCCTCCTCCTCCTCCTCCTCCTCCTCCTCTTCGATGCTCAGCGATCTGGAGCGGAGCTGGACTAAGATGATGAAGACTTGGCATGAGCGGAGCTGGAACTTGTCCTGCGAGACCCTCGGGCTGATTACCCAGCTCGCGTACGCCCCGTACGACCACAAGGCGTCTCGTCGAGCTCTGGAGCAGGAGAGGAGGAGGGAGAAGGAGCTGAACAAGTTCACCGATCTGTCCTCTCTCGGCCCTGTCGTCCTCCTCCTCCCCCTCGCCTCCCTCCACGCTGCTCTCGTCCGCAAGCGCTGGGCCACCATCACCGTCGCCAACCATGTGGACTGTGGGCTGCAGATGCGGAGGCTGGCGAGTTGGCACCTACAGCAGGCGGTCAAGTTGGAGGGGGAGGAGGCGGTGAGGGAGGAGAGCAAGAGCGCTGGGCTCATGCTGGTGGAGATGCTGTTGAGATGTCACGTCATGTATGAGCAAGACAGGTGGGACAAGGTAGCTGGAGAGCTGCTGGGCCTGCAGAGGCTGCTGAGGAGGAGGAGGGAGGAGGAGGAGGAGGAGGAGCGATGCTCCTTCGATCCGACAGTCTTGACAGACTTGCTCTGCGACACGAGCAGTGACAAGATGTTGTCTGTTGCTAGAACCATCCTACGTCCCTCCCTTCTCATCATCCGGGACCTTGTCAGCTCACAGAAGCTCTCTCCTCACCTCCTCCTCCTCCTCACATCCAAACTCTGGGGGCTGGTGGGGCTGGCGAGGATGAACCTTCTCGTTCCTTCCTCTGCCATCGATCCGGCCGGCAAGTATGCGATCAAGAACGAGCAACTGAAGAAGAAGGAGGAGGAGCTCCGGCAGCAGCTGCTCCTTCTCCGGCGGCAGGAGGATCTCTGCCCTGGAAGCAGCTCAGGGAGCCTGAGGAGGAGGGTGGAGGAGGAGATGGAGGCGGTGGAGAAGAAGAGGAGGAGGTTGAGAAAGAAGTTGGTGTACCGACCAGAGGAGCAGACGTTCTGTCAGCTCTACGACGAGCTTGTCAAGTTTCAGCGGGACGTGTTCAACAACAACAGGATCCTCCGCCTCCTGTCGGTGCTGGATGAGGCGCTGCTGCCGCTGGCTACGATGATGGAAGAGGAGAGGCAGATGCAGGAGGTCGCGGAGAGATTTTCAGCTCGTCTCAGCAGAGACTTCCAGGGCTTCGAGGACCTCCTGCTCCCGTTCCAGCTCGCCGTGCAGGAAGTCAGGAGAGGGTTGAGGATCGCAGTCTTCCTGCGCAGGTTCAGGACGGAGGGCCCCTCCTCCTCCTCCTCCTCTGCACAGATAGCCGACCTCTTCTCCTTCCCCTTCGACTACTCGATCCGCAGCATGCCCCTTATTGAACACGCCGCCAAGCTCGTCGACCGGGGAGAGGAGGAGCAAGTCGCCTCCTCTCTACTGCCGTCTGCCCTGCAGTGGAAGCAGAATGCTGTCCCCCTCTTCCGCGCGCTGCTCAAGATCGTCGGCATTGCCGTAGCTCAGAGGAGCGAGTGGGATGAGGAGGGAGCAGGAGCCGTCGACCTCCTCTCCGTCGCCTTCTCGCAGCTGTGGACAGAGAAGTGCAGGAGGGAGGAGGCGAGGAGGGAGGAGGAAGAAGCTGCGTTCAAGTACAGGGAGAGGAAGGTAGAGATCCTCACAGAGGAGGAGCTGGTGGAGCGCGACTACAAACGGACGTTCCGCGACTTCTCGGATGAGTTTGCTGACCTGGACATGAGGGAGGAGGACGAGGAGGCTGTGGCGGAGGAGAGGAGGAAGGTAGCGGCAAGGAAGGAGGAGGAGGAGGGAGAGAGGGAGGCGATGATGGAGAGAAGCAGCTCGATGATGAGCGAGGAGGATCTCAAGATGTTCTACTTGCTCAATGTGAGATTGAATGATCATATCCTTCATCATGAGAAGAACAGGTAAGTCCTCCTCCTCCT